ATATATATATATATATATATGAATTAGTAAGTATATGTATGTATATATGTATGTATGTATGTTTTCTAATTCTGTATAAACCAACAATAATTGAAATGACATTCACTTATCCATAGTTTCTAAATTTCTGATTTTACTCATTTCATTCATAAATAAACTTGACTTTCAACTCTTCACCAGATATGAATGTAGTCAAAAGTTCAATGATTAATTTAAACTCATCATTATATTCTTATTTTACATGCCAAGTCAAAATTTTCCATATGCCATAATCACTAACAAATTGGCTCCTGAATACTGACCTCTACCATCTACTATGGCTTTGATCAATCAAAGATTTTAGATAATTTGTTGTATTAAAACTATTGTATTGTTTGTAGGTTTTTGTGGAACTTGCCAAAGAGCAAGAAGAAGAAGACAGTTTTGGAACATTAAATAGCATGCTTTGGTGGGAACGAACCCAAGGAGAAAGAGTTATTTTCTGATATATTCCATGTTGCAGACTTCAGCTTCTACATTCTTCAGGTTTTTTAAAAGGATTATTTTTATTACTTGAAATTACTTTATTCTCCTGGAGTGTTCATTGTATTAGAAAATGATTACTAGTAATTAGGAGTACAAATAATACTGATTCTTAACATCCTAAAAATGCAAAATTGACCCTATTCTCTTTATTTATTTTATATAGAGTACCTCCAGTGTTTTGTCTTTGGTAAAAGTATTTTTAAATGAATCAATATATGCTTTCTGTTGAAGAACATGATATTCTGATTTCATCACTCATGATCTATCTAATTTCCATATTATTGTTGGAAAAACATAACTCTAGAAAAATCTGGTTATAAACCCATGACACATATTTCATTTTAGAATCTTATTTTCAAAAGAACTTTTTACTAACTAGAATACTGAGAATTTTGTCTGCATGGTTAAAACTTTAGTAGAATTTGAATGAAAAATTTCCTTTTAATTTGAAATACTCCAATTGATCTTCAGCATTTACTCTGTAAATAGTGAATATATTAATAATACACACACACACACAGAGTAAGACTGGGATGCAAGTATAAGATCTATCTGTATATTTACAAAATTACAGCTATCCTAGTTATTTCCTAAGTAGTCAGTGTGATGATTAAAAAATGATTTTTTTACAAAAAGTTGATTGCATGTGGAGGTACTAAAGGTACAATAAAATCAAAGAAAATTGTATCCTATGATTAGTTATTATAACTATGATTTATGGTCTGTGGTCTGTCGCTTCCTTGTTTGTATGTACATTGAGAGCTTATGCACTGCAGACAAATTCCTTGTGTGTCCAATCACACTTGGCCAATAAAGAATTCTGTTCTGTTTTTATTCTATTATATTCCATTCCATTCAAATTTGTCTTTACACAAAGGGAAAAAACAGTCCAATCTATCAAAAACAGATTAGGAACCCAAGTTGAAATAGGAAAGAAAATGGTAAGTGAGCATCTGTCTACCCTAGACAAGTTCAAATCATAAGGACCAGATGGATTATACCCCAAGGTTCTGAAGGAACTAGCAGATGTGATCTCAGAACCACTGAACTATATATTTCAAAGATCCTGGAGCACTGGAGAACTGCCAGAGGACTGGGAAAAAAAGAGCTAATATAGCTCCCATCTTAAAAAGGGGGGAAAATAGATCCAAGAAACTACAGTCCCATCAGCCTAAGCTCAATACCAGGGAAGAATGTGGAAAAGATAATCAAGCAATGAACCAGTGAACGCCTAGAAGCAAACAAAGTAATAACAAACAAAATTTACTTGGACTTCTGTAAGGCATTTGACAAAGTAGACCATAACCTACTACTTGATAAAATAGAAAAATGCGGGTTAGACAGCATCACCACCAGATGGATTCATATCTGACTGACCAACTGCACTCAAATGTAGTCCTCAATGGAAGTGCATCTACATGGAGAGAGGTATGCAGTGGGGTACCCCAGGGCTCGTCAACATATTCATCAATGAATTGGACGAGGGGATAGATGGGGAACTCATCAAATTTCCAGATGACACCAAGCTAGAAGGAATAGCCAAAACTCTGGAAGATAGGCTTAAGATACAGAAGGATCTTGACAGATTTGAACATTTGGTGCCACCTACCAAAATGAAATTCAATGATGAAAAAGGTAAAATCCTACATTTAGGCAAGAAAAACAAAATGCACAGGTATAGTATAGGTGGTACCTTGCTCAATAGTGGTGACTGTGAGAGGGATCTTGGAGTCCTAGTGGACAACCATTTAAATATGAGTTGGCAGGGTGCTGCAGCTGCCAAAAAGGCCACCACAGTTCTAGACTGCATAAACACAGGGATAGAATCAAGATCATGTGAAGTGTTAATACCACTTTATAATGCCTTGGTAAGGCCACACTTAGAATACTGCATCCAATTTTGATCACCACAATGTAAAAAAGATGTTGAGACTCTAGTAAGAGTGCAGAGAAGAGCAAAAAAGATGATTAGGGGACAACAGATAGGATTAGGATAAAACATAAAGAATGGTTGCTGGAACTGGATATGTCTAGTCTTATGAAAAGAAGGACTAGGGATGATATGATAGCAGTGTTACGATATCTCAGGG